CCTATATGATAATTTCTTGCTTAGAAGTGATAAGAGTGGAGTCAACACTCCATGACTTGGGGTGGTTGTAAACTCTCCCTTACTGCTTAGCTTATAAAAACAAAGCATCGACCATAATTATTCCCAACTAGCAGAGCAATCAAGGTTGAAGTTTTGTTATACCCGTATGAACTGTCGGTCTCTGCTATTGATACATGAATGAATAACAACATGAATTCATGTTAACACGACTAGGAGGCAGCACCTGTTTATCACCTCAGTCCCAACCAACGACGGACAGTCAGCCAACTCACAGAGGAAGAACAGGTGAAAATAGCCAAGAGGATAGGTCTTATACAACACCTGCCAACAGGAGAATATGATGGCAGCAAGAAAGCTAGGGAGTAAGTGTAGCCAAAAACAGCCTCCAGGACCTATGCTGTCATTCTTGTAGTTTTTATGGTTTCATAAGTTGAGTCATATCATTTCCATGGGGAAATTAAACTGAAAAAGTTGTAGAAAGCAGCCCTTAAATGCTAGCTTTCATAACACAAATAGCTCAGTAGAGAGCAGCCCTTAATTGCCAGCTTTTGCGACAAGAACAGCTCAGAATGCCGTACTTAGTAGAGAAGTCCAGAATGTTCCAATTCCTATTAATTTTGGAACTCAGTCTTTAAAATCCATTACATGCATGTACCTGCTTCCTAGAATTTTCAAAAACTTAGTAACCAAGTCCACTTTCTTATCAATACAGGATGCTGCTAGGACTGAATAAAACTGGTTCGTTTTCCTGTCCGACCCATTTATTGTATCTTGTACATTATGGTACATTATACAATTAGTTGAAACGACATATGTTGTTTTTTTGTTTTGTTGTAGGTGTGTCATTTGTATGCTGGATTTCCAGATGGGTGATCCTTTACGTTACCTACCCTGTATGCATACGTATCATGTAAAATGCATTGACGATTGGTTGATGAGATCCTTCACTTGTCCTTCCTGTATGGAACCTGTGGATGCTGCTCTTCTATCAACATATGAATCACGCTAGCGATGTCTTACACTGTGCCAATAGATTGAAAACTACATCATGTGCAAAAGACATTCTTACCAAATCAATTCTTTATTTGTATTTCTTTATCTTTTTTGTCTTGAATTTTTAATGCAGCACGCTACATACAGTCCCTCAGTATCAGTCAGCAGAAAACTTTTTGGTGTTCTGGGTTTGAACCTTCTTTGTCTTCAATAATAACTGTGGCATTTTCCTGCTCAACTCGTAGGATGGTTAGTGTGGTTAATGTTATGCAGTATCACAAAGTACACAGACTATCACAGATTGCCACGAACTGTTGCAGAGTGTTGCAGACACTGAACATCACAGCCTACAAAGAGATTCTGCCGCTACAACTTAAACAAGGAAAATCTGTAAATATCAGTGTTATTTATTACATCAACAAAAATCAGAGTGCTGTAAACACACTACTTTTCACTTGGGGGTCTGTATGCGTGTTTTGTTTCTTTATTTTTTTGTTGTTTTGCTCTGTTTTTTTTTTAATCCCCGGTTTCATTTGCAATAACTTGCATACAAAAGTAACATAATGCAATTCCTATTTCTTCTTGCGGTAGTATCCTGACCACTAATAAGAAATAGTACATGAATTGTTTGATGTACCAGTAAACCAGTCCTTGCTAGGGGTGCATTCCACTCAAGCAAACAATGCCAACGTTGCGTGTTTTACGCACACATTTTTAAACCGGAACACTTTAGGCATCAAGTACATAGGCATTGTAAGCAAACCTTGGCAAACACTCTGGAAGGGGTGTTAAGAAATGTTATTTAACTTTCAAAATGGATGAACAAAAGTGATAGTTATAACTCGTCAATCGGGCCTGAAACTCAACCTGAATGAAGTGTGGCAAATCAAGTTATAGATGAAAGAAAGAAATCTATAATTCAGCTTGATTATAAAATTTTTATGGTCTGAGAAAATAGTTGTCTTTCTTTAGCAGACCACATTTTTTCCCACATAACTCACACAAGATCCAACAATCTTTGTTTTCAACTTCCGTGTTGGCTAAAACTATTAATTTCCCAATTAGATGCGAAACCAATCAGGAATATTAGGCAGTCGTCAAGTGTCATAAATATTTCAAACTGCTGGCTGCTTGAAGTAAAAGAATGCTGTCTTCTTCCATATTTACAAACTGCGGTGAACGCACATACAGTGTTTGAAAATGGTGCATTCTAGTCCAAACTGTAAGCATGACACACACCTTTCAAATGTTTGCCCAAACACTAGTGTAAGTGGAACACACCCCTGAACTCAAGACAACACTACTAGTTGTAACAAATGTGAGATATGGCCGCTTACATTGTATGAGTCCATCGTCAGCGTTTAGCGTTTCAGAATCACTGCCTGGATACAAGGAAAAAACCTCGTTAACACTGAAAATTGTAAGCTGGTACCCAGCTCCTCACCATGTAATAGTTTGGGACTTCTCACTGGGCTAGTCTAAAAACGAGAGCAGTTTACACAGCAAGAAGTTGTTGTGTTCCTGGCAATGAGAGCAATGGCTGCATCCACAACTCATGTTACAGTGACTGTTGGAAACAATATGCCCCTATGGAAGCCGTCTAGCTTGTGGCTTGCAGTCGCTTCCCATATACATGTGTGATACTCGTAGCCATAGCCGCTTGTTTGATACCGCAGTCAATATGTCATATTTTCACAGCTGAAGGGATGCATCACTTTTACATGAGTTCACTCTCATCTCATTTATTGCATTCAAAAGATTCCTTTTTTTCCCTAGACGCACAGAGACAGAAAAGAATTCCCTGGCGTTGTTGTGTGTAAGCTTTATCGCGAATAAACACAGTAACATGGGTTCTAAGTAAAACTTTTATGCTTTTAATCAATTGTGCATTGTACGCAGATAACTATTTGCCATAGTATTTATTATTTAAAAAAAGTAAAGTTTAGTCCAGGTTTTGTTGCAAAGTTAAGAACAGCCGGAGATGAGTTTCCTTGAAACAACATTGTGGAAGTTTCCATTGAAATTATCTGCATGTTTGATTGTATAAGATGTACCAAGGAGATCTTGATAAAGAAATAATGAAGCAAATATTTAGCTGTATTCAGTAAAAAGCGGTGATTGTACTTGCACCTGTAAACACTGACTGGAAGAAAAAAAAAGTGGCACATTCAAACAGATCTGTCTCAACTTACAGTAACAAGGATAATAGTAAAAGAAAAAAATGGAGTAAGACTGCAGAATCATCCATTTCTTACCATAAGGCCAAAACAAAAGTTGTCTCTGGTCAGACTGATGTCCTGGAAATGATGCGGCGACCCGGCTTCTCCCCCCCCCCCAGGGTTGGAGTGTATTGAGTCAGAGTAAAGATTGTCAAGTCATGCGACTAGACCAGCTTTATTATGATTATAAGCTGATGACAAACAACTTTGTATCCATAGTCTGCTAACAATGTTCAACATCAATTTCATCGGGATCTATCTGCAAAAATGTGAAGGCATTGCAGCAATAGAGGGCGCTATTGCAGCTCTCGCAGAGAAAAACAAAGATTGACTAGCATGCTTGGATTCAATGCAGGCGCTGACCTGAGACGGAAGACTTTTTGTGGCCAAACAGTATTTTTGTCAACATATTCTTTGTAACAAACTTGTAATTCTTAATTTAATGTTTATTCTAAATAAAAGTATGAAAATTTGATTTATGATAGTATTCCATCATGCCAGGTCTTGTTTATTAGAAACGATTTGAAGTTCAGCTAGACTTGCATCTTTCAACCAATGTATATGCCATGTGTTCAGATAAAATGCAACCAACTGTGTCATGACATTCACGTCATATACCTTATTTATGAATCACTCTGACAAATCAGTACATCCACCATTTTACTGATACAGGGCACAGTGCTTGTTCTAGTGGACCAAATTTGCATGCAACAGCTGGGTACCCCTAACCAGAACCAATCTTCCAAAGTAAATTTAGTAGGGTAGCCCGAACACAAAGGAATTTGAGTTCAAATTAAAAGGAGTGAACCAGTGGATCACAGCAAGGTCTTAATTGGCACATTGGAAAGGTTCCAAGAAAGCGTTTTGCAGAGGTGAAATTCAGTTTTATTAATTTATTTGTTAATTCGTAAAAAATGTCGCAATTACTTAAGACGGATATTCTGCTCTATGGAAATCAGAAAATCATGGAACAGGCATCTGAATTTAAGGCAACTTTTTTTAATTATCACATAATTTACTATATTTTGTTGGTATGATTATTTGTTTTGTGTGCATGCACTCAATTTAATGAGTGATTTTTTTAAACATTAAATTGAGCATTTGGTGAGCGATTTGTGTCACAGAAAGCACAGTTCAACTTGTCATGTCTCAAAACGAGGTCTTTTGGCCGAAGTGAAAAAGGTCCTTGCATTCTTAGAATTCCCAAACTTTTCATTTTTGTTAATGTAAAATTAATAAAAAAAGGATCCCATGTCTGGGCTTATTTCCACGAAGCACGAAACATTCGCTTCACATTTCAACTTGGATTATTTTTTAAGACTGCAACAAATTTAAATGCATTTATAGATTATGTAAGGGGAAACTGTATGGAGTACATGTATTTTAAATATTTAGGAATTGTCGATTCTTTGATTTATTTGATAAACACAATTATTTAACAAACAGTAAGTTAACTGGCCTCAGACCCTTCAAAGTAGCCAGTGGTACACCTACCGCTGCTATGAGCTGAGGTACAAGACCCTATCCATTTTAAGATGACAGAAACCCTTCAAAGTAGCCAGGGGTACCCCTGTACTTGTGCAGAGCTGAGATACAAGACCTCATCTGTCAATTGATTGACAGAAACCCTTCAAAGTAGCCAGAGGTACCCCTGTACTTACA